CGACGCTCCGCCAGCCGATGACGAAGCTAGCTTGAACGATCCGGAAGCTCCTTTGCCTTTCGTCTGTACTAAAGCTCCAGACGCGACGGACGATTTTAAGTACCTCTTGATGAAAGGCGCAACTTTCTCAGCGTCTACTTTGTAATTAGCGGCTATGTATTTCTTGATAGCTTGCAGAGACGACCCGCCACGCTCTTTTAATCCTTTAATTGCGTTGATGACCATTTCGCTAGTAGGAGGATGAGACGGCTTCGCCCTCGGATTCTTCGGTTTTTTCTCCTTTTTCGCAGACGACTGCGACGTCGGCGACGCAGAATTCGCGGTAGCCGTAGCCGACGCGGCGTAATTCTGGTTTTCCGTATCTGCCATGTTTACGAGTCGTGAAGAGGAGACAGATTATTGTATACGCGCGATCTTTTGCAATCACTGATCGACGATCTCGCTAAGAGAACGAATGTCGAATGAATGTGAGAGGTAAATTCAGCGTGACGTCTACCTCCTATATTATCGTTTAATTTCGATACCACCACGACATCCCCGCGTACTATACACTTCCTGTCGAACCGTGTATGTGCTTCATCGCACTTTAGCTCCACGGTGATGTTTTGGTATCTCTGACCAACACTGTCGGTCGATTGGGGGTGCGCGCCCACGATCGCATCGCGTGTGAAACGCGTGCTTGCGATCGCGGCACGTCGCACCGCGTCGGCATCCTCGCCTGGGAGGCCGACCTGGGGATTCTGATTCGAATCCAGGTTGTCGATCCTCGGATCGGCGACACGACAAGTACTAGTGAGACTCTTGGTTGGAGGAGACGCAGGACAGTCGAGGAAGGCTCCCTTTCTTGCACCGAGAGCTGGTGCCGGGCTGAATGACTGTATCACCGGGCGGAATTCACGTCAAGTGGAGAAGTCACACGGAAATCACTAACATCGCACCTACCTTGACCCTGGGCCTGTGTGGCTGAACGGAGGGGGGCTGGAGAAGTCAAGTCTCCTATGACCTGACTGCGATGCGTGGTCCCTGCAACTTCCTCTTTTCTGCATACAGCGTCGACACCGTCATCGATGAGGGAGCGTGGGCGATCCTCGCGTGTCGTGTGTCGTTTTTATTTCTCGATGTCATCTTCACGGAGCTCGGCCTGTTCCGTACTGCTGATGATATCCAAGGTAATAATGCACAGAGTGAACGTTCTTGCGGAGATGATAATCTCCCCGTTCTACCCCTTTCGTGCCAAAACGTGAGTGTAACTTTTCTCTCAGTGAAGTGCAGTTGTGGGGGTTAAAACCACTTTTGTTTTTTCAAACAATATGGCAACCCACAACTCACAATAGGTATTCGGTTTGTATTTCGATATTTCGACCCGTTTCAATACCCCACCCGAGGGGTTAGCAACTCGAATTTTATTTTACGTCCCGCGGACCTATCCGTTCGCGACGGCGGTCGGGCCAGGAGTGCGCGGCTCGACTGGCTGTATCGCTGAGACGGAACGATTCGGCGTTCTCGGCGGACTGCTCGGATGCTGCTAGGCAGAGTGGTCGCGGAGAACTGGAGAGGGCATCGTGGTATGCTCGCTGCTGAATCTCTTCGATCTCTCTCGAATCTGTTGAATTGTTACTCCGATCAAATTTTCGCGTTCTTATAAAGGATTAGGGCGGACCGAACACTGAGCGCGCTCGCGCTCGCTGGCGTCGAATCTCAAAAAGGCCCTAATCACTCTTGTGCAAAAAATGATCGTTTTGATATTCTTTGATTTTGACGAAACTTGGCACGATTGAAGATCTGAACGTTCTGATTCTGAATCTGCAGTTACTTTTTCCTAACTTGTCGTTTTCGAAAGTTATAAAGCGCGGTTCGCGACACCTCCCCACCTATTGTGAAGTTGTTTTGGGTGGCGTTTTTACGCAGAGCCTTTATTTTCACAATAATAATGGTTTACATAAGGTTTCAGTCGCATAATGCTTACAAACCCTGCAAGAGAAGAATATTCACAGAAATCGTTCAATTATTACAAAAATGGTACATTTCTTATCAGTAATAGCTACAATCGTTGATTACCTCGTTGCAAAGTGCGTTCGGCACTTCTATTCAGCAATGTGTTATAATCGTTACCAGTAGTTGCAAAAATGCACTTGGCATTTCTATTCAGCAATGTCACATAATCTTTGATTCAGTAGTGCAAAAAATGCGCTCGGCATCTCTATTCAGCACTTTACTAAAATTGACCAAGTGTTGCAAAAATGCGCTCGGCATTTCTATCAGCCACTTTTACCTTGGTACACGATTTCTCCTGAAATTAACCAACAATTTTGGTTTCCTTAAAACTACCCTATCACGGAACTATATACAACAGTGACAGGTGCTCTGATACCTGTCAACTGCAAGGATAAACTATATCTAATATTTTACAAGTGGCTTCTACTCCCGTGAGTAGCAATCTGGTTGTTGTCTATCTCACGGTTTCCAACAAAGTCCGATTGGAACGGACCGCGGTTTCGCGCACACAAACGCACTGTTCACTGCACGGTAAACTAGGGCTTATGTTACAACGTTATTACAGTGAAAATCAGAGCTCTATCGCGGAGATACGTGGTGATAGTGTATGGTGGGCGTGAAAACCATTCAAAACACTTCATACTCCCCCCCTTCGGATAGTTGCATGGCTGGTTGGGCTCGACGTGTCCAACTTGAAAAATCGAGATATATATATAGTTTTCATCACTAGTTTAGGGTGAGAACGGAAGATCTTCAGGGAGAATGTCTTGAGACTCATCCTCGTCCGGACGTGGAATGAGGATGTCTCGGGCCCTAGAGTTTATTACTCTATATCGGGTCTCGATGGTCTGAGGTCATCTACGTGAAGTTGTGCAACCCCATTATCGTGGAGGACCTCATACGTGACATCATCGAGTTGTTTCACGACTTGATATGGACCCACCCATTTCTTTGCAAATGGTTCATTTCGACGTTCGCGCATCATGACCTGGTCTCCAGGCTGAAATGAGACAGCGGGGGGGTCAGTAGCGTGCGGGAACAAATCCCTGGCGTACACAATCTGCTTTCGGCGCGCGTCCTCGCGCTTTCGCCGAAGTTCAGCCGTCTGCTGGGCACGTTCGACTTGGAAATTGGGGTGTTTCCATTCGCCGGGCCTAGGAAGGGTGTAGCCAGTGACATACTCGGCCGGGGTGATTCCCGTGGCGAGATTCGTCCTGTTTCTCAATGCGAAGAGTATGCTATTTAAGTCTCTTTCCCAGCTCGTGGGCAGTGTTGACGACATCACTCTAGCTCGTATTGCCTTTTTCAACTCCTGATTCCGTCTCTCCACCGGATTCGCTCTCTGGTGATATGCCGATGAGATACGGTGTTCGATGCTGTTCTTTTCAAGATACTCGACCCACTGTCTACCTTGAAAAGTGCTGGAACCATCTGTGATCACGAGTTTTGGGTATCCCCATCTCGTGCACATGTTATGCAAGAAACTAACGGCTGTTTTTGAGACTACATCTGGTTTGGGTTCGGCCTCTACCCATTTACTCGCAATGCAAGTACCGACAAACAGGATCGTATTTCCTGTTTGGGTCCTCGGGTAGGGCCCCATGGGATCAATACTGATGACTTGGAAGGGTCCTTGAGGGAGAATAGGCCTCTGGGGGGCGGCTGGCTGTGCCGCGCCTGGTTTCGTACAAGTGCAAACTAGACAAGCGTGTACGAAGCGTTTCACTAGGTCCTTCAGACCAGTCGCGTAGTACAGTCTAGTTGCTGACTTATATGTTTCCAGTACCCCAGGGTGACAGGCATCCTCATGATCGTGGAATCTATGGATTAGTCGGGCAAAGCTTATGTTTCGGAACTACAAGCTGCCTAGCATGACTACCCTCCACGGACGATTGTTTCCACAAAAGATCATCCTTAACCTCAAAAGAATTCCAAAGTCGACTCTCCCATGGTTCCAAACGTTCTCTTTCCTCTGGTGTCAACGACCTTAGCATTTCCCAATGACTTACCGCGTCCTTCACCTCAGGACAGTCTTGTTGGGAAGCTGCAATTTCAGCGAACAGATCGTCGCGCTCGAGAAGAGAACACGTTTGCGGACTAGCACGATCTGATTCCTCATCAGACTCGGTTTCAGGCGTTTCCTTATAGTCCGGCACCACTAAACGGCTATCATCCGGTTGTTGGCACTGTATATTGGCCGGGTGTCGCGACAAGTAATCCGCCAACTCATTGTCCTTGCCTTGGCAATGATGGATCTCAAATGAGAATTCTTGCAAATGAAGAGCCCACCTCGTTAGCTTAGCTCGTTCATCCTTGAACTGGTTTAGCCAAACCAGAGCTTTGCTATCGGTTACAAGATGGAACTTTTTCCCTTCAAGATACGGCTGGTACATTTTACATGCCCATATAACCGCCAAGCATTCCTGCTCATTTATGTGATAGCGCTGCTCAGCTGGCTTGAATTTAGCGCTGGCATAACTGATCACTCTCTTTTGCCCGTCCGCCGATTTTGGTATAGCACGCATCCCATGCCTTGCTTAGAGGCATCAGTTTGTATCCAAAAGTCTAAGTCGTTCTTAGGCCTGTACAACTGTAAGGGTTGGGTCATACTATCCTTCAAAGCTTGGAACGCAGCCTCAGCTGCCTCGTTCCACTTGAAAGGGTTTTTGGTGGAAGTGAGGTCTGTAAGAGGGCCGGAGATGTCCGCGAAGTTCGGTACAAACTCCCTCAGCCAATTTGCCGTTCCTAGGAACTGTCGCAACTCTTTCCTTGTTTTTGGTCGTGGATGTTCCGTTATGCTGGCTAAATGACAGGCTTGGGGTCGGTTTATCTCCTGCGAGATTACAAAACCTAAATACTCCAATTCTTTCGCAGCAATTGAGCATTTCTCGATGTTCACCGTCAGGTTATGCGCCCGAAACCTTTCCAAAACGAGATGAACGTGTTTTTCGTGATCTTCCCAATTATTGGAATAGACCAACACGTCATCCAGGTAGATTTTCACGAATTTATCGATATAACCTGCCAACACTTCTGCCATGAGCTTGGTGAAGGTGGCTGGGGCATTTTTCAGCCCAAACGGCATCACCGTAAATTCGTACGCTGCCCCGTCGGGTGTCACGAAGGCCGTCATATGAGCGGCTCGTTCGGACATCTTCACCTGCCAATAACCAGCTAACAAATCCATAGACGTAAAACATTTCGCCTCTCCCAAATCCCGAATGGTTTCGCGGATATTGGGCATTTGCGTGACTTCATCTACTGTTATCGCGTTCAGCTTCCGGTAATCCACGCAAAATCGAACTTCCCCATTCTTCTTACGCACCAAGACAATAGGCGACGCGAAGTTGGAATTGCTGCGTCGGATGACTCCCTTACTAAGCATCTTCGCAACTTCTGCCTGTATTATTCGTCTTTTCTCAGGTGTGTAAGTGTAACGACGTTCTCGGACAGTAATATTGTTTCTCAAACAATATCGTGACGGGCGGTGGCTGTATGCGCCATCCCCCAATCTTCCGTGAAAACATCCGGAAAATTTTGTATCACTTTTGCAATTTCCGGTGGAGTTCCGCTAGGAACTGCAACACTGGTATCTTACGACGGGCCTGGTATAACCAACTAAGAGCATGCCGCTTCTCGACCCCCACGTATACCACATGATGCATGTAATCCACTATCGCTTGTTCCGCCAGATGCCAATCTACCCCTAAGATCATTTGATCTTTTAGGTTCGGAAAAACGTGGAACGTATGACAAAACCATCTATCTTGAATACTGAAATTCAACTTAACCTTTCCCAAAGTCTGAACGGAACTTCCAGCTTCTGCAAGCTGGATTTCCACGGATTTGCCTTCCACCCTGTATCCTTCTATCACATCGGGGTGTATGAAAGATATGGACGCCCCACTGTCCAAAAGGGCCCAAATCCGTTTTCTTCTTCACTTGGGCTTGAAAACGAATGAGTCGCGGACTCGATCGTTTACTCTCATTCGCGGAAAGTGCTGTCACTTTCGACTGGTCGGAGATCAGGTTTGTCAAATTACGTTTCCGTTTTCGTCGCCTTTTCCGATTTGATCTAGATTGACAGAGGTCCGACGAGACGGCTGCTGGCTCAGCCTCTCGCCGATTCAAAAATTTAAAGACTCTGCAATTTCGATTGCATCAAGGTCCGACCGTTCGCGACCTTTGCCCTTTTTCCTGTAGGGTTTTCCAACCTTTGCAGGCCCTTGACTAGGGGAGTGGACATCGACCACCACCTGCTGTTGGATCGGTTGTCCTTCCTTCTGTCGGGAGTCTGTCCTATTGGACCACCCTGTAGATGGAGGATTTCTTGAACCTTTACCCCTATTTTCCATTTTTGCAGCCGCTTTCGCTGAAGGGTTCTGCGGTTTGGAACTATTTTGCTTCGGACGCCCCTCCTTACGAGGTGGTTCAGTCTGCTTTGACCGTCCTTCAGACATAGGACTTTTCCTATCTTTGGTTTTCCTTTCCATTTGGGCAGCCACTCTCTCCGGAGGGTTCTGCCTAGGAATCGTTTTATTATCCGACTGTTTCTGGTGGGTGTTAGGACTTGGACGTTGGAAATTCGTCCCTTTGGGTTGCCTCAGCGGACATTGACTCTGGTGATGGGCTCCTTCGCAAGTCCAACACTTTGGCTGTCTAGGTGGTTGGTCAGAATTTCGTGACTGGCCGACCTCTTTTTTCACAAAAGAGGACTGGGCCGCCTTTCCTCCCAATGCACCAGCTTGCAAATTTGCGTAATCACCCTCGATTTCACTCGCCACGTTGGACAGCTCGGCCAATGTGCTCACTGGCACAGCTCGCAGCATCATCCTTAGCTCCGGTCGTAAAAGTGCTGTCACTTGTACGACGCGTTCACGTGGAGACGTGGTCGGAGCAATTCGTTCGAACAATCCCTCTTTGGCAGCAATAAAAATCTCAGTTGGCTCGGATTTTTGCGTTTCACCAAACAATTTGGCCCTCAAGGCACAATGCTTTTCCGGTGAGTCGAATTCTTTTAAAATTCGCGCACGGACATCGTCGTACCGAATGTTCAAGTGTTTCCAATGAGCAAACAATTTTTCCGCTTTGCCTTCCAGTTGTTCTAACGCTATTTCCGCCCATTCCTCGCTGGGAATATCATATCGACGGAAATAACGATCCAGTTTTCCGAAGAAAACCTCCGGATCTTGCCAATCACGTCCACTAAATCGCGGTAACCTCGGGGGAGGGGACTGAGTCGCGTTTTGATTGATTAAAAGTCGAGCTATCCCCGCCGTTAGACTTTGCAAGTCCCCTACCTGATCCTGCAAACTCTGTGCGACACTGCTGTGTCCACTATGGATGCTCAGGCGGTCACCTTGCGCAGAATATCGGTCCCTTAATAAATTATTATCACCCCCACCATACACTGAACCCCCTAAATCACAAACATTACCATTACAAATATCAATTCCAATCATATCATCAATATAAATCGAGTCATTGTCATGTAAAATATTGTTATGATTCACATTCACGGGGTGTACAGCATTCAGCCGATTTACTCTGGTTATAACACTATTATTGTTTGAATAAGCAGGTCTTCCATTACTACCTTCATGGAAGGCCCCACGTTGGGCGCCATGACGTCTACCTCCTATATTATCGTTTAATTTCGATACCACCACGACATCCCCGCGTACTATACACTTCCTGTCGAACCGTGTATGTGCTTCATCGCACTTTAGCTCCACGGTGATGTTTTGGTATCTCTGACCAACACTGTCGGTCGATTGGGGGTGCGCGCCCACGATCGCATCGCGTGTGAAACGCGTGCTTGCGATCGCGGCACGTCGCACCGCGTCGGCATCCTCGCCTGGGAGGCCGACCTGGGGATTCTGATTCGAATCCAGGTTGTCGATCCTCGGATCGGCGACACGACCAAGTACTTGTTGAGACTCTTGGTTGGAGGAGACGGCAGGACAGTCGAGGAAGGCTCCCTTTCTTGCACCGAGAGCTGGTGCCGGGCTGAATGACTGTATCACCGGCGCGGAATTCACGTCAAGTGGAGAAGTCACACGGAAATCACTAACATCGCACCTACCTTGACCCTGGGCCTGTGTGGCTGAACGGAGGGGGGCTGGAGAAGTCAAGTCTCCTATGACCTGACTGCGATGCGTGGTCCCTGCAACTTCCTCTTTTCTGCATACAGCGTCGACACCGTCATCGATGAGGGAGCGTGGGCGATCCTCGCGCTGTCGTCGTGTCGTCTTTTTATTTCTCGATGTCATCTTCACGGAGCTCGGCCTGTTCCGTACTGCTGATGATATCCAAGGTAATAATGCACAGAGTGAACGTTCTTGCGGAGATGATAATCTCCCCGTTCTACCCCTTTCGTGCCAAACGTGAGTGTAACTTTTTCTCTCAGTGAAGTGCAGTTGTGGGGGTTAAAACCACCTTTGTTTTTTTTTCAAACAATATGGCAACCCCACAACTCACAATAGGTATTCGGTGTATTTCGATATTTCGACCCGTTTCAATACCCCACCCGAGGGGTTAGCAACTCGAATTTTATTTTACGTCCCGCGGACCTATCCGTTCGCGACGGCGGTCGGGCCAGGAGTGCGCGGCTCGACTGGCTGTATCGCTGAGACGGAACGATTCGGCGTTCTCGGCGGACTGCTCGGATGCTGCTAGGCAGAGTGGTCGCGGAGAACTGGAGAGGGCATCGTGGTATCTGCTCGCTGCTGAATCTCTTCGATCTCTCTCGAATCTGTTGAATCTGTTACTCCGATCAAATTTTCGCGTTCTTATAAAGGATTAGGGCGGACCGAACACTGAGCGCTCGCGCTCGCTGGCGTCGAATCTCAAAAAGGCCCCCTAATCACTCTTGTGCAAAAAATGATCGTTTTTGATATTCTTTGATTTTGACGAAACTTGGCACGATTGAAGATCTGAACGTTCTGATTCTGAATCTGCAGTTACTTTTTTCCTAACTTGTCGTTTTCGAAAGTTATAAAGCGCGGTTCGCGACAGCGTCGTGACCCAAGTCATTTCGGTCGGACCGAACATTGAACGCTCCGACTTTGCAGCGAAACCGATTTCGACGGCTTCAATTCTGCCAAGCCTGCGGTCGTATCTGTTGGTTTTTTGAGTCGCTGATATTAATTGCAGACGAGCAACAGCTAAAACCTGAACGAATATGAAATCTGCATAATTGAAAATACACATTTAACTTCGCGACTTGATCACGTACGCTACGTACACGATAAAATTATAAGGTGAACGTGCAAGGTATCCGCTTTGGAACTAATCGTCCGGCTTTTGATCTATTTATATTATACGAATACGTTATATAATTAGATATTTCATGAAATTACAATCTACGACTATTCGTAATACAATTATACTGTCGGTATACGGCTAATGGATAAGGTATTTTAGATAATCGCAATTATACGAGGTATGTCTGGCGTACATCCGAACGTGCACAGTCGCGAAATATATCGCGATAATTTAACATTACTCCTGTAATATGGACAAATAGATTATAATATGAGACATCAATCTATTATTCGTAATAAATAAGCCAGAGTAGAAAAATATTATATATAATATACGAGCGATCGAGTTATAAATTCATCTCTAATCATATTATATTATTAGACGTTACGCACATTACTGACTTTTGATCTACGTGAAAGTACCTAATGTTACGTATTACACGCTAACAGCCTGCCTAACGCCTAAGCAATATATACGGCAAAATATCTATATTATGTCGAATTATCTACATTATAATCACATGCTACTTATAAGTTATTTTACTTCCATACACATACATACAATTCGTACGTTATTAGAAATAATATCAATGTAACGGTTTACTACAAAGCACCACAATCCTCGATATAGGATAACGGGTAATAACTAGCGACTATCGATAACCATTTAGCGCTATTTTGCATACACGATAATAGTGTCGAAATGCACGCGTACAAACAACAATCTGATATACTTAACATAATACACGATCCCCTTTTTCTGAACATACTATATGATGGTTCTGAAAAGAACCGTTTTTTTTTTTAACCTATTATCGCACGCCGTACTCTCTCTCTCTCTCTCTCTCTCTCTTTCCGGCAAATAGTAAATCCGTCAATTCCATTAGGCACGTTCGCCCCTAATACGTCTTGCCAGCTGTATATCTTTCGGCATGATCGTTACTCGCTTAGCGTGGATCGCGCACAAGTTCGTATCCTCGAATAGTCCGACCAGGTACGCTTCGCTAGCTTCTTGGAGTGCCATTACAGCAGAACTTTGGAATCGCAAATCGGTCTTGAAATCTTGCGCTATTTCACGGACCAGCCGTTGGAAAGGCAATTTTCTGATCAACAATTCGGTACTTTTCTGATAACGACGAATTTCTCTGAGAGCCACAGTTCCCGGACGATAACGGTGAGGTTTCTTAACTCCGCCAGTAGCAGGAGCACTTTTACGGGCAGCCTTCGTGGCTAATTGCTTCCTGGAGCTTTACCTCCGGTGATTTACGAGCCGTCTGCTTGGTACGCGCCATTACGTTAAATTTCAGATAACTGAATATAAATTATCTATATAGCAGCGACGTGAATATTGCAACGGACAATATTATAGTGAGCGGAGGTAAACACACACACACCACCACACCCTCCTACCCTGTGCGGTCCCTCCACCACCCCTGTTCCAGGCAACCTCA